CCTCGCCTGAGCCGAGAGGCTTACAGCAACAGCAACAGCAACAGCAACAGCAACAGCAACGGCACCACCAGCAGCAGCAGCAGCAGCAGCAATAGCAACAGCAACAGCAACAGCAACAGCATTTCATCCACTCTCAGCGGGAAAGTCCTCAAATGTCTCGGTTAAATTGCCTCGCTTCGCGACGACTCAACTTAGGCCCCGGTCCCTTGGAGAGCTTCTCCTCCTCTTATGCTACTTCCAACTCTGAGCTGAGAACGAGTCTCACTCGGTGCAAAGCTTTGACGAGCTCCCTGTCCCTGAAGACAGCAGGAGCTGTATCAGCTTTTTCCTTGAGCCACTTCCTTGGAAAGCTGGTGGCTGAGCATCGCCGAAGGAGATGCAGGCCGAGCCTTAGCTCAGCACCTGCTGCTGCCCTGCCCCTAAAGGCTGCAGGCACAGCGTAACGACTGCGATGCCTGGATGTCAAATGCAACTCTTCTGTCTCGGTGCTGCTGCGGCTGAGTCTCAAGCTGATAGATGGAGATGTCCTTAGTAAAACCAAGACATGTGGTGTCCTCTCTCCGAGCGAACAGCTGTTCTGTGGCCCAGAGAATGGCACTCTAAGCACTAAGAAGACTCAGGCGCGTTCATGACTTTTGGAGTCCGCGGTGATGTCGACAAGTTGCAAAAACTAAGCGTAGGGAGTTGCTCCACTTGGTGGAAAAGGCGTGGCAAAATGCCAAAAACTGACTGCTATGTCCTTGCTGGAATCTTCCGGGAGTTTCTCCACGGATTCTCTCAGGGAGTTACTCCACTCAGAGAACAAGCTTCCGCGCAACGACTTCCACAGGGACCTAGCTGAACCTGGGGATCCGCTCTCCGTCTTGATCATACAAGTCACCAGTTCGGACAGACTGGAAGCTGGTGATGCAGAGGGGGGGTACTTCGTCAGGAGTTACATACACCCCATTTCGACGTATGAAAAAGATCACCCCTTGTTCTACCGCTTTGCGGGTAGAGATGCGGACAAGCATAGTCGAACTTTCCCGTTTGCCCGAAACACCGCCAGTATCGTCAAAGAAGTGGACATGTTGACGTCCTTCACGTCCCTTCCTGCCACCTTTTCCTTTGGGATACTGGGCCTTTCCTGGGAGCAAACCACGTTGCTGTATGCTCTCATACCTGTGCCATGAGGTTCCGTGGAGTAACGTATCAGGGAGTTGCTCCTCTGATACCGGCTCGAGGAGGTTTTCCTCGCCCACTTCAGCACGTGAGTGCCCCTGAACGGCACGTATGAACCTGCACCCATCGCTGCGAAGACCAAGCTGGTACCTTTGCTTTTTGTTGCTTCGTACGATCTCGAGCAGGTCCCCGCTTGTGGCTGAGGTTTCGGATATTCGGGGCCACGCAAGTACCTCCTCCACTTTGGCCCACCCCGGGCGTCCACTGCCAGTCGGTTTGTGCCCGTGGCGGAGACAGGCTGCCAGTGCCTTTGACACCGCGAAGGCGAAGGGGCTGTCAGGATCTTTGGAGGCATGACAGTAGTCTCCCATCGATGCCTCTCTGCCCATCCAGTCTTGAATCTCTTGTGGATTCCTCCGCCGCCGTCATCACCACGTCGCTGCCGGAAGCCGCTGCGCTAGAGGCGGCTACTGCTACCTGACTAGCAGACCCAGGCTCTGCAGGGGGAGTTTCTCCACCCTGGCTGGACTTCAAGGGAGTTTCTCCACTTGAGTGGCCGGTGACTGTCGCAGGTGCAGGCAGTCGATCTCCAAGTCCCAGGTTTCGAAAGCTTGCTTCGCCGAGCTAAGCGGTAGCTCCAAAGCACCTGCCCACTCCATGAGATACTCCGAGACGTGCAGATTCTCCTTGGTGGCGATGCGCAGGTGCACCGCCACAATCTTCACGCTCTCGAAGCTCTGTATGAGCTGCTTTGTTTGCTTACCGGCCCTCATGTTCCCCTTTGCATCAAAGAGCACCTCAATGCAAGGTTTGATGAAGATGTGCTTGGTGCCGTATCTGGTGAGCGAGCTTTAATTTTCGGCGAGATGGCGATTGATAGGCCGATGGAGATAGACGCCTCCTCTGTCTGCAAATGCCCGAGTCCCAATGATTCCAGGGTCACTTGGTAGCAGCATTCCTGTGGCAAGAATGGCATGCATGCATTCCAAATGTGTTCCATGGAATCCTGTATCAGCCTGGTCGTCGCTGATGTCGAGCTTGTTGGGCGCTGTGAACGGGAACTTGTACCAGTATCCAGCAGTTACTGGTCCCAGCTTGGGGAGTAAGTCCTCGCCATTGAGACCCTTCCTCGTCTTGAGGAACGAGGTCATCAGCGCACTGGCGAGGGCTGCTGTTGGCTCCTGGCAGCTGCTAAGTCCCTCAATCAGCTTCCTGGTTGAGGAAACCGAGAGGCGGCCGGTGTTGATATCCGAAATGGACCCGCCGCAAGTTGGTTTTTGGTCAGGAAATTCGGGGTATCCGGCATTAGCCAAGGTCTTGAGCAGCTTCCATTTCTCTTTCCTGTAGAGCCTGTCGCTGTGCAGCTTGAGCTGCCAAGACTTCCGAAATATTTCTCCTCCCTTGGCCTTGACAGCAGGGGGAGCTCCTCCACCCTCTGTTTCATCTTGCCGCCTTTTAGGAGGGGGCGGCGGGGGAGTTACCCCTCCCTTCCCGCCTTTACCTCCTTTGTCGAGGCGAGGCTCCCCGCGTCCCACGTGCCCATCTTCAGAGCGTTTCCACTGGCGAAGGTAGTTTCTATACGAGACTTTGGGTAGCCCCTCTGCCGTGCGGCGAGCCGAGTGTTCGGCAGATTCGGCTCTGTACGCATCGTCCTGCTGCGACATGACGTAGCGAGACTTCGTATGTGGCTTATCTCATAAAGAAAAATTGCGTGGCACTTTAGGAACCGTGACCGTGACTACCTGCGACGACGGCTGACCTTAAGCCCGGAGCTATGCAAAACACTGAGCTAAGAAAGGCTGAGCTGGCAGTTGCACTCTGAGCTGTGGACCCAAACGACGCCCAACCGTGGCAAGCGGATTCCAAACTAGTTGCAGATATTGAGGCTACTGGGTAAGGGCAAACCTGCAAATAACATGCTGTGTGAGCTGAGCAGGGACACTCAGACTGAGCCTCATCGGGAGTCTCTCCACGATGGTCGCGTAGCGGCCTGCTACAGTGGAAGTACTGCGAAAGCTCTCTCATGACAAGCACCCTAGCAAAAACGCGCTTTTATGCAAAAACCGCTAGTGGAGGAATCCCCGTCTCGACAGTTACTCCGCCGTTCACAGGGAGTTTCTCCGCTGAAGACCTCCGGCTAGGGGAATTTCTCCACCTCAAGCACCTCGGGGAGTGACTCCTCCGATTGGGGAGAGCTCCTCTACCCCTCACCACTCCTCGTTCTGGAGAGTTCCGAGGCGCGCTTCCCATGCCGCTATTGCGGCATTCAGCTCCAAGTCCTCTCGAAAATATTTTTGGCGGAGGAGCTCTGTGTCGACATCAATAATTGATGACGCAGGTTGGTTGGGAGGAGATGCTCCGCATGCGCCATGATGTCAGTCTCCCGCGTGGCACCCTCGACATCGTATTGGAAGCCAGACAGACGCGACCACCCGAGGTCGGTGCCCTCCCTTAGTTTGGCCATGGCAAAATAGAGCATGGCGACTTGGCGGAGGGCTACTCTCCTTTGGTATCGCACCTCTGCCCATTCATCATATCCGCGAAGGCTGCTGCAGAAGGAGTGAAGCTGCTTGACTTCCGTGGCAGGGAGTACCTCCACCGCCAGCATCATGAGCTGCGCCTTTATCTTCACGGCTTTGGCCTGTATGAGCGTCTGCGCCTGAGTGATGCACGCCTGAACTGTCACTCAAAAGCTCCGCTGGTCTCTCATTTGCCTCGCGGGAGCTCCTCCTCGCTCGTCTCACCTGGGCAAAGGAGCTGTGCACTAGTTTTAGAGGTGGGTGTGCTGGGTCACCTGCCTTGGCTGCAGGAGTATCTCCTCGCATAAGGTATCCCAAGCCTGCAGGCAAACTGCAGGTAGATGCAAAACCACTTGTTAAGGAGGGGGAGAACACCTACTCTTGGTACTCTGGCTTTAATCTACTATCTTTCCCGCGTGAGGTTGTCTCACTGGTGCCCCCAGTCAGCCTGCTGCTGAGGCTAGCCGGAGAAACTGTGGGCTGCGTCTGAGCTTAGCGGAGCATGCCACGCAACTGCTTTGTCAACGGGGAAGGTTGTGTTCCCTGCTATTGAGGAGAGAAAAAGCTGAGTTATTAGCTAGAGTGCTTACCCAGACCACCAAACGGATCTATAAAATAGATCCAGTCGAACCAGCGGTTCTATTTTAGCAACAGCGGCTCTATTCTAGCAGGATTCTAGCATGGCGGCTCTATTTTGCAGCAAAGTTGCAATTTGAGCATTAGAAGGCTTCTATTGAGGATTGTCCTTGTTTTGATTCTGCTGGAGGAAACCAAACCTCATTTGGCTCAAAGTGCGGAAGAAAACCCCTAAGACCCTAAGTCGGCTCAAACTGCGGGAAAAAATCCCTAAGTTCCCTAAAAATACAGGCAGAGAGACATGGCCCACCTATAGGGTCATGCCTCTCTGCATATTTACTCATATAAATATCATTCGTCCGTACATATACAAAAATATATAGTGTCTACACGATATTATGTCTGCATATTAACCAACCTGTGTGATACTCTGAAGAACTGGCTTTGCAGAAGCGAAGTGATCTTGCTCGGCCGACTGCCCGCCAATCAGGGGCTCTTGAATGGGCTCAGTTTTCTCTCCGGCGCTCGTTCCAAATGCAGTCGAGCAATCAGCAGAGGAGGCAGCAGCCCATATATTCCTCGGCCGGACGCGGCATTGGCCGCATATGCTTGCATTACAGTGCGAGCATTCTAGAGCACAGTAAGACTGCTGTGCGCTTGCGACTGTAGCCATGCCGAAGCGACCAGCTGCAAGTGTGGACGACGATGGAGATGATGAGCAGGACACAGAGCCACAGCAGGCACACAGACAGCCAGGGTTGAAGGATGTGAAACTTCTGTCCTCCTGTATGGCACCCTTCATAAAGAAGCGGCACGATATGAACTACACGTCTGACCGAGAAATCAAGAACATCCAGAGGGCGAAACTCACGAACAAGTGGACTAGCAATGATCCGGCATAGTTCAGTTGTGGTTTTTGGTTTTTTCGTTTATTGAAATAGTGTCCCAGTTTTGTGATTTGTTAATGGTCTGGTGCTTGAGTCGAGGTTCTATCAAGGCCTGCTTAGCAGCACCCGGAGCCTCTCTCGAACCTGGAATTTCCCCGATACCATCATCAAGAAAGCCTTGCTTCTCTTCAAGAGCGAGGACAGACTCAAGTTCTCTGTATTTATGTGTTGGCCTAGCAAACCTTAACTGCTTGAATACCAACAGAATAGTAAGAGAGGACCACCATCAGCTCAGAGAAGAGGTTCGGGAGAAGGATAGGGATGGTTGGGCTACGACGTGTACCTTGAGGTGCTCAGCGATGTTTAGACACTATGCACAGTCGGCTTTGAGGTGCAGGAAATGGGTCCCTGAGGCTCGTCGGCTAAAGACCCCTGCCAAAATCATCCATTAATGTATGTAATCCCCAGGCACACTGGAATGGGAAGGCTCAGAAGCAGACGACTGCAACCCCTGTGGTACCGGTGGCGCAGCCCAGACGAAAGACCGGGAAGCAACAGGATCCCCATGCCGTCAAGGTTCAAAAGACATCCCAGCTTCCCATGCAGGAAAGCGCCGAATGCGATCCTCCGGAGGAAAATTCCGGTGATGATTTCCCCTACATAAGCAGCCCCAGCATGAGAAGCAGCAGCAGCACAAGCAGCAACGACACAAGTAGCTCCAGCAGCCAGCCTGTCCTACGCAAGCCAGCATCCAAGGTTGCAAAAACAAGGCCAGCAAGCAATCAAGAGCCGCACCAAGAAGAGGAGCAGGCTACAGAAACTGCAATGCAAAACGATGACAAAGAAGAACAACCGAACCAAACATGCAAGCCTGTTGATGCTTTGAGTGACACCTGGACCGCATGTGTAGCTGCTTTATTCTGGTTTGAGTATAAGTGCTTCGGGGCCCCGAAACCAAAAAGGATCCCAAGGCTCATTCAATTCTTCGTGCAGGCTTCCCTAAAAACCTTTAGCACAGCGAATACTCGAAAGCCTCCAATTTAGGGTTTAGGGTTTCGGGTTTAAGTGGGTATTAAAAAGAATAAGCAGCCTCAGCCCCCCCAGGAACGGCACCGCAGTGCCATCGAGACCGACTGGTTCATGTCTGCCTTCGACCAGATGCTTGGGGGCTGCGACCCGACCCTCAGTGCCTCGTCTCAGATCTTCGTTACCCCAACCCTAAACCCTACAATCCCCGATCACGACTTTTCGGAGTTCGGGTGCTCAGCTTGTGGGCATGCATGATCGGCCGATTCGGCTCCGCAGTGAGGGATGGTGTGAGTGGGGTTTTGCTCTTCAGGATTTCGGGTTCTTGCTCCGGGGCTTGAACCTTTCAGCTTCAGAGCAAGGCTTCCTATAGTAGCTTCCTAGCTATAAGCTGCTTGTGTAGCCCGGCAAATACGATCTCGGACCGGCAATGGATGTAGATGACTCTGACGACGAATGGTTACGAGAACTGCTGCAACGGGAGGATGACAGCATGACTTCTTCTTATTCTGGAGAGAGCACGACGACTGTGTCTTCACATTCGCAAACGAGCAGGGGTGCTTCAATGCGACCAGAGCTTATACGACTACAGACGGCCCGTAAATTTGGAATGTTGGCTTCAGTGAATTATTGGAAAACTTATGTGCCCAAATCGCTTCACAGCATGCCTGGACTGGCCTCTGCACTGAACGATATCCTCGCTCATCCCGATATTCATCTCCGACTGCCAGCCTCAGTTTTGGCGAGCAAATTGCTCGCTCACGCGAACGATTTCGTCCGGGTCTTGGCTGCTGAGATCCCATTCAAAGTCGGGCTCACAAGAAGCCCGATTCACAGGTGGGAAAATCCTGCCTACGGTTACCAAGTTGAGGGAAGGTGGTACTCTATGTTTGTCATCTGCATACTTCAGCACGGGGAGTCTGCAGGTATCATGGAAGCTTGCTTACTTTCTACTTGGGGGTCACACCACGGCTGTGCAAATGAAGCCGAAGGGGGCGAATCGGTTTCACAAGAACCAGGACCCTGGTTTATTTATGTAGTGCAAGGTCATTAAGTGCACTCTCGGCCACCTTTGCTTGA